TTGTTATAGAATGAACAATGTAAATAAAAAATGTATACAATCACTTACAAAGTTCAAACTATTCTTTTCACTTCAGACACATACTATTGTATCTCAAGATTCAACTTTTCCTACTAATAATAATAATTTCAAATCATATATAGTTCTTATAGGTTCTTATAGGCGTAGGCATAGATAGACTTTTATGCGCATGTCGGGCAAAATTCGCCGCAGTCTCGCGTGCGGCGAAAAGTTGTCGTCTGGGAATTCTTTTAAACCCATTCTGAACAACCATGGTGAAACGTCTGGAAAAAACGTCCGGTCAAATCGAACGCTTTTGGGTAAAGAGTGTCGTCAGGACGTTCATTCTGAACGCACCCCTGGTTGGCTGCTGCTCCGCTGCTTGATGCTTGCTGCGTCCAGTGTAAATTAGGCATTAGGCAATTTGTCTACAAATTGCGAAGTAAGCTTGATTTAAGAAGAATAAGAAATTGACCAATTACAGTTGATTGTGAAAAGAATAATCGACTGTGATTGGTCAATTTCTTACTCTTACTTCTTAAACTAAGCTTAGAGTGAAATCATATGGTGCGGAAAAAGACTGCGAAACAGAGAATACGTCATTGAAGCAATCAATCAGCGCTATTCAGCGGTATTCGGAGTAGCGCTGATTAGTTGCTTCAATGACGTATTCTCTATTCCACAGTCTTCTTCCGCACCGTATGATTTCACTCTAAGCTTGGTTTAAGAAGTAAGGGCCCTGGCACACAAAAAACTTAAGGCAGTAAGATGTAAGCAGTAAGGAAATCAACATGTTGGATTCGCTACTGCTTATGTCATGGCCTTATGGACTCTACTGTGATTGGTCAATTCGCTTACTGCTTACATTTTACTGCTTAAGTTTTTTTCTGTGCCATGGCCCTAATGGTTCCCGCACATTGGACGCGGAAACGCTTGCCGCGTGGCAAAATGTGACGCGGTAGCCAATACTCCTAATATGTCCATTGTAGAGTCCTTATATAGGGACTGTAGTTCATTGGTGTTACTACGTCGCATTTTGCCGCGCGGTAAGCTTTTCCTCGTCCAGTGTGCAGGAGCC